AACTTTAATAGTCCACTCTACTAAAAACTTATTTTTCTTACCTTAAAAAATAAAAGATCGAGAATTCAAGTTTACACATGAACAAGTGAATATATATATTGAGAGAGGAGAAAGCAAAAAAATTGTATTATAATATAACATACTATTCTATTCCATATTTCACTATTTCTTTACTAAAATAAATAATTAAGTATAAATAATATTTATCAAACATAAATTTATTTATTTTTTTACTATTTAAAATTATAAGGGTATTTTCGGTAAGTAGAATCATTTTATTTTCCTTTTCATACTATCCAAACTAATAAAATAATATTTTCTTACAACTTTCTTCAAAATATTTCCTGCTAACCAAATGCATAATAGAAACGACCCTTAAAGATTAAAAAGGAGAGATATCTAAATTCAAGTTTATTTTTAATGTAATGCTATCATAAGAACTCTCTCATGATGATCTCTCCTTCTTAACCAATAAATTAAAAGATTTATTTAGTGACTTTTTTGACTTTTCATAAATTTCAAAAATTTATCTTGACTCGACAGCAAGGTTGTCCCATTATAATTTAGAGATTATGGGTTCAAAATAGGAAATAACTTTTCGTATATAAAAATAATTTACATCAAACCCTTCTCAGATTCTTGCATATTGGATTAGTCTTTAGAAAATAGAAACTTCTAATTAAGAAAAAGGTATAAAAAAAATAAATCTAAATATAGTAACTAGATATACTTTTAAGGGATTATTAAAAAATTCTTTTATATCTTTTTTATTTATTTATAAAATATATGTAATGAGACTTCTATTGTGAAAAAATAATAATTGCATCTGATATAATGAGACTTCTATTGTGAAAAAATAATAATTGCATCTGATATATATCAGATGCAATTATTATTTTTTCACAATAGAAGTCTCATTACATATACAGAATTGTTCACTTACTCCCTGGTGTACAAGAAAATGTATGCACACATCAAGTATTAACCGTTAGATTACATTGGGCGGTTAAAAAGGTAGTTTATTCTTTTATATCCAACGGTTAAGATTTAATTCGTGTATAAATTCCTTGCACACCAGTGAGCTGGTGAACAGTCCTATATATATATATATATATATATATATATATATATATATATATTTATTGAGATAAATATTTTTGGAAAAATTACATTTTAGTGACTAATCCTAAATTAAATTGCTCTAAAGGACCATAAAAAAAAAAAGATAAATAGTTACTAAATTTAAAACTTGATTGCACAGGAGTGACTATTAGAATTTAGTTTCTAAATATCCCTTCACAGACACTTTCACACACTCTCTTTCACACCCAACTTTCTTAAACACAGACAGCTTCACTGGCGATGCTCCCTCCGGCTAGGGCGGAGCCACAATTTCTTTTTTTTTGGGGGGGGGGGGGGGGGGGGAGTGTATTTGACGAAAAAAAATAAAAATAAAAAAAAATAAAAACCTCAACTAACATGACAAATATAATTTTTTTCACATGAAAAAAAAAAAAAAAAAAAAAAACCCCACCATAGCAAAATCACAAAATTCTCAAGTAATAGCATAATATTCTTGATCTAATTTACTATCAATACTGATTTAAAGTAAAAAAAAAGAATTACCTATGTATGTTGAGATTCCGATTGAATTTTGAGCTATGCCAAATCAATCATACTCCATCTCCAAGCACTTCATGAATCTTGACAAACAAAACAAACAAGATTTTATTTAATTATTTATATCTTAAACTAACAAGAAAACAAGATGTTTTTCAATAATGTGAATAAAAATTTAAATAAAAGAATTCATTATTCAACTGGAAAGAACAAAATTAAAAGACTTGACAAATATAAAAACCAAAATATAGAAATATAAGAACCAAAATATAGATTTTGACAATATTTTCATTGAATACATTACAACTGTCCTCTACAGGATTTCATTTTTTTAAAACACTGCATGATAGCCTCATTATCTATGCTTCTAAATATATCTTTTTCAACATATACAACCGAGCTATCATTCATAAATTGATCTCCCATCCGATTACGCAATTTATTATTTACAATATTCATAACAGAAAATGCCTTTTCCACCGTGGCAGTCGTAACTGGTAAGATCAACACCAATGTCACAAACAAATACACCAATGGATACACCTTGTCCTTTTTTTGCCTCCACCATTTTTTTTTTTTTTTTTTTGCAAGAGTAGAAATCCCTTTCAATCCTTCAAAACTACTATTAGAGCGCACATTAAGAATATAAGTCTCAAGTTGACTATGAAGTTCTTTGAGCTTGATTGTAGAAAATTCTTTTGGATAATATTTAACAAAGCGAATTATATTTTGCTTGTCAAAAGTAAAGAATGAATCATTTAGACATAAACATGTCATACAAAGAAATAACTCAGTATTAGTCTCACTAAAACGACTATTTAACTCTTGAAGTTGCATATCTATCACAGAATAAAACAACTCAACACGATAGTAATGCAAGTTTGTCATTTCTTTCACATTCCGTCATCATCGACTTTGAGCAAAGAAAATGTCATCCATGTTGGGAACATCAATCCCATGTCTCTCACAAAATGAAGAAACTTTTTTCGAGTAAAGAATCACATCCATCATCCCTCATCATTTGTAGTCATTGCTTACATAATTTGACTAAACACATGCATTCATGATATCTTGATCTTTTCTTTGTAGTGCTTTTGATAATTCATTTGTCATTTCCAACACTGCCTTCATCAAATGGAGATCGACTGAACACAAAATTAAAGGATTGTATTATCCCAAGTAGAATAGTTGTTTTACCTCTTTGATCAGATCTAAATCCATCCGCTTCAATAATCTCAAGAACATCAATTACAGATGAGAACATTGTAATTAAGCTCATTAAAGTACCATAATGTGAGCCCAATCAAGTGTCTCCTGCATGTATAAGAAAAGTACTCTAATTTAAGCCTTGCCCACTTGAAAGCTGACAATTGTTAAGTCCTTCAATAACTTTTGCAATTTGTTTCTCTCGAAGCATATCACGACATTTACACGAGACTCCAACTACATTCGCCACATTAGCAACGAATAAGAAAAAAATGGAAATCTGACCATGATTCTTTGACACAACAACAAGACCCAACTGAAGTTGGTGAGCAAAGCAATGAACAAAAAAGGCAAATTCATTCTCTTTTAGAATAAGCGTTTTGAAACCGTTAAACTCATCTTGCATGATGTTAGCCCCATCATAACCTTGCCCATGCAATGTAGAAATTCTCAATCTATGTGTAGAAAATACATTATCAATCGCTGCCTTAAGTGAGAGAGTAGTTGTGTGGCCACATGGATGTTGGGCCCAAAGGGAGTGATTGTTGCGACCTTGTGGGCTAGCGTGTGTGGGCGGGTGCGAGATATTGGCAGGCAACCACACTCGATGAGGTATGGGTACACAATCGCATATCGCTTAGGTGTGAAAATAAGTGAGATTTGTACACTCCAATTAATATAAGGCATTTTGGAATAAAACTTAAGAGTAAAATCGTGTGGATTCGGACCCAAAATCGACAATATCATACTATGTAATGGGGTGAGTAGTTACAATAAAATTCTAGCTCGACCAGGCTATAAATTATATATTGCAAATTTTATTTTCATTTTACTAAATTGTCTCTTTGGAACTAAAAATAAAACTTTTGTCGAAAATTTATAGATGGAGTTGTTACGTTTGTACAATTGCATTATCTATTACTCTCTCCGTCCCTTATTAGTAGTCAATTTTTCTCTTTTTACATATCCCAAATTAGTTATCATATTTGAAAAATTAAAGTATCTTTTATTTATTTATTTATTATTGTCCTTTACCTTTTTAAAAAATTTCAAAATTTGTAATTATATATATTTAAATTAAAAATAATAATTTATTAATTTTAAAAAGAGACAATGCATTAATTACATATCCCTTTAAAAAATTATAAAATAAATAATAGGTAACTAATAACAGACTAAAGTAGTAACTTAATCGGTAGAAGCGCAATTTTCTAAACAAGTTCTCCGTGTTCGAGTTCCCTTCCTTTTGGCTGTATGGTTTGGTTGAAGGCGATCGAGTGGACCAAAATGAAAATGAAAGTAGATGGAGTTCCTAGTTTATTGTGCCTCTCATTCCATTGAATGCCAAAAGGTGACCCAGAATACAACGTCACTTGGTGATCCACATCTGACAACAATCATTGATTGATTTTGGTAAATTGCAGTAGTATTAATTTGTGATAGAGATGGTCACCAGATTTTTCTTTTGTTTTTCATTTTGTTTTCTTTAGGATGCGTTTGTCAAGTACCTTATACTATTGATGTTACTCAGTTACTGTTAATTTCGATCAGTCATCTATCACCAATAACAGACAAACCCCGACTCACATGTTCATCTGGACCGTCCACCTTCATTTGCTTTTGTACTCACTGTGATTTATTTATTTTTGGTTAACTTCACTTACATCCTCTATATTTGTTCAATTTTCAAAAAAATTCTAGCATTTGCAAAAATTTAGACAAATTTTTTTATTTTTTCTAACACAAATCAGTCTTTTCCTCAGTTCACAAAGTTGATCAAAGACACTTTTTTTACTGACATCAGAAAAAAATTAAATTTTAATACCTAAATTACCCTTTAAGTGTTTTGTTTGTCTACACAGCATATCAAAATCTCCCTCAACAGTCATGTTTGGATATTGGGTACAGATTAGGGGTTGCAGCAGCGAAAACATACTGGTTCGCCGTGATTTCAAGCTGAGGTTGCTGCGGTGGCGGAGGGTGGCTGCGCCTGCGTCTCCGGCGACCGTTTCCGATATTACCCATCTAATTTCACTTCTTCAAATACTTGGAAAACACAAACACCACCGATGCCGACGCACACAAACACTCACTCTCTCAGAATCAAACGCACACAAACACGAAGAATGTGTTTTCGTTGTTTCAATTTGTATGTGGTTTTACTGAATGGAAGGAAATCAATTGATGAGAAAAAAAACTGCAACAATATGATTGGTTAGTTTGGTTAGTTCCATTATTCGTAGTATTTAAGTCTCTGATGATTTCTTTTCTATTTTTTTTTTTTCGTAACTCATGTTTGCTTTCTTTGGTAGGTTATTTGTTTTTCTTTAATTTCCTTCTATATATTACATGATTTTTTCCAATCAATGGATTTACAAAATCTGAATCCATGAATCACAATAGAAATTACAGGAGATGTGATGAGCAATCAATTGGTCCGTGTTTCTGAATTAACCATGACCGACAAATCTAAACCAACTCTGATCTCCATTTCTTTATTTTTCCCGATTTGATTATTTTATATTTTATACGGTGATTCAGAAAATTAGGTTTTATTTCTCTGATATTATTATTATTGTGGTTGAATGCTTGTATTGCAAAATTAGGGTTTATTTTTATTTATGGCGAAAGAAGTGGCTCAATGCCTAATTTATTGGTAGTATACGCTATTCTGACTGAGAACATGAGCAGACATTTTATCGAAATATCATGAGAGCAATTTTTCAATTTGTTTAATTTTCTGTTTGGATACTGTCTTCTGTCTCCTCTCATCGAATGCAACTCCAACACAAACACCACCAGTTCTCTCCGTCCTGCTCTTACTAGCTGGAAAAGAGCAAATCAGTTAAAAGTGAGCCAATTTTGTTATTGTTATTTTCTAAAACAACCTAGGGTAAATTAGTCATTACATTTATTTATTTGTTTTTTTCAGTTCACAATGTCTGACAGAATTTTTGTAAGTATGGTACGTCTCCTTCAAAATTGAACAGAGTATAAGAAGTATAACTGAAATTAACCTTTTATTTTTCACTGAGTACTGCAGTGCAATTTCACCATATTTATTTTATAATTTTTAGTATTTTTAATGGTGTGTGTCACCACTTTGAAATTGACGACTTTAAATGGTTAATTTTACCACGTTTATTTATAAGTAAAAATTAGTGAAATAGATTCTCATTTGTATTACAGCTGTGATTGACTTGGATTTTGTTCTACTTGTAATTAGTGTCAATGAGAATTTATTTATTTATTATTATTATTTTTATATAACGTTGGGTAAGAAAAAAAAAAAAAAAATGAAAAGAAGAGAAAAAAAAAAAAAGAATGACAGACATTCATAAGGAAAAGATTAAGCGTTTTTCTGAAAAGATAAAATTTTAAGTTATTTTTACTATTAAACTCATCCCATTTATTAAATATTTATGAAAGGTGATACAGTAATTAAAACTTTTATAATAAGTTTACTTGTTTCTCTTCTTATCTTTCTTCTTGCTTTGGCCCATATTTAAGTGGATGAAAATTTGTGAAAGAAGATCTTTATTATTTTTATCAAATAAAAAAATTTTGTCCTTTCTTTTTTATTTTTCTTTCACCCCTCGTTATTCCGTCGTACCAAGCATAGCGCTGTTACACCTCTAGTTTTTTTTACCAATGGTGTGCGAAAATTGAATCATTCTTAGTGTATCTAAAATGATTAGATTATATGTAGTCAAAGAGGCGGCTGGGAATAATTTGATGCCTTGTGGCCTTATAATATATGTAATATATTAATATCAAATAATAGTTATTTATGTTTGTTTACTTAAAATTCATCCTTCTTACTTTGGATGTGAAAACCTACTTATTATATTCTTGTTATCAAGTTTTGCAATTAATTACTATTATTATTATTATTTTTTTCTTTCACACAACTTAGAAAAAATACAGTAAAGAATGAGAGCATTGAATATCCACAGCGTGACCGACACTTTGCTCAAAACCATCGCATTCCGCTACTAGAGTTATTTACATTTGTACACACCCTTGTTACCAGGCATGGATCTGTGAAGTGCGCTAAGTGAGGGCAAGCGCCCCATTGAAATTTTTTATAATTATGTTTTATACCCCTAAATTTATACTTTTTTGTATTTATATTCATTAAAATTTGAAAGTGCCCCCATTGAAATTATGAAAAAATCCCTCTATATAAATTCCCCCATATGAATTCTTAAATCCGTCCTTGCTTGTTAATTTTATGGCAATATATAGGTTTTGAGTATAACTTCCAAAAAATGGTATAGTAAAAAGAAAAAGAAAATTATTAAGTCAATTTTCAATTTTTGAAATTTAAATTTATTTTCCTGAATTGTTTTGAAAAAAATATTAAAATTCATCAAAAATTTAAAAATAACAAAAAATTATTGGAAAATATTTTCTCAAAACAAACAAATCATTAGAAACTTTCTTTTTGAAAACCTTCAATTGACTTGCAAGACAATAATTTGGCACCTCAAAATTCTTTCCATATTGTTTTAGTACTAGCCACACTAGGTATGAAGATTCTGTAGATGCTCCAGCCCTCAAAAGAATGTCTTTGTTTTTTAGGTCAATCCCTCTTTTGCATTTTGTCCAGTTGCACCCATGTGGCAAAACAGTAATTTTGTCTTTACAACCCAGTGCAGATAAATAGGTCTCCAATCCGAGGACACGACTTTTCAAACTAAATTAATGTATGTTTGCTTACAAAAAGAAAAAAGAAAAAAGAAAAAAGAAAAATAATTAATAAAGTACATAAATAAATAAATCTACAATCATACATATTATGCATGTATAAGTTATTGGCATAGCCAAGCGGCACTATTCAAGTTGGTTGGCTACGCATACTCCTAAAAGGAAAATGCACAACACCACAAATTACTGTATTAAGAAAATAACTTAAATTACGGTTTCATTTATTTCGACGTAAAATATAATTTTTAAAATATATATATATTTTTTAGGTAAAATATTTTTTTATTTTTATTTTGTCAGTGTTTGGTAAAGGTCTACGTCGAAATTGAGGTTGAGTCTATCAGGCGGGACATGTAAAATAACTTGTTAAAAATTTATGAATAAGTTTTTTTTGTTAAATTTTAATTTTTTTTTTTTTCGTAAATATTTTATTACAACCAAACACCAGAAAATAAAAAAATACTTTACGTCCAAACAAACGGAGCCTACATGACAGCTTAACTTTTAGTGTATTCTTAAAGAGAAGCTTAACTTTTAGTGTATTCTTAAAGAGATTTTGTTAAGATACTACATAATAGGATGAGAGAAAAAAATAAGAAAAAATTATTTATGGTAAAATCTAAACTCCAAAATAACTCTTTGGATACATTTTAAGGGTTAACTCTTTCTCTTCAATAAGAGAACCTTAATTTTCTTAACCAAATTTTGTGCGTAATAATTAGATAAATACATAATTTACTTAAAACTTAAAATTATATTTTGAGTCTTTTTTCTCTTGAATAAGAACTCTAATTTCCTCAACAATCTATATGCATAAATAATTTGATAAATAGATAATCAACTTCATGTTCATCATAATTATAAAGTTGAAAATGCAGAAGAAAAAAAAAATAATTATAATAATAAAAATAAAATTAGAAAAAAGAAAAGAGAGAGAAACCTAACTTAATGTTCCTCTTCACTTCTCTTTTAATGGTAATTCACACAAATATGTGTGTGTGTGTATATATATATATATATATATATATGATCGGAATCATCCGTTCATCTTTAAATTTGCCTGCTTTCTTAATTTAACTAGTGATAAACATAACAATGTAACTGTCCCACGATTTCAGCCATGAGAGTAACTCTCCTTGATTGAGCAAATCATTAAGATTTGTAACTAATTTATTTTTGAATTTTGATTCTTTGTAACAGCTCCTTAGATGTAGAGATTCTTTGTAACAGCTCCTTAGATGTAGAGATTTGTTTACCATTTTACATTGATTCATATTGTATATATATTTGATCACCATATCAATGAAACGTAGAATTCACCTAATTATTTTATGGTATTAGAGCCCAACGTCCACTGACTTTGGGATTAATTTTTTTTTTTTTCTTTCTTTTTTTCTTCTCATGGCTTCTACATTATCCATCTCTAATATCTCTCATTTGGTTTCAATCAAGCTAGATAGAACTAACTATACTCTATGGTTGGCTTAATTTGTACCAGTTCTTAGAAGTCTCAATTTATTTGGCTATGTTGATGGAGCAGAGCCTTGTCTAGAAAAGTCTCTTGTTGATACAAATGGGAATGAAACTCTCAATCCCAAATACACTGTGGCAGTAACAAGGCAATCTGATTCTTAGTTAGATCAATGCCACCTTGACACCAGTGATACCCCGAATTTCCGAATCCGGGTTGGCCAGGCCCACGCCCGAATACCCGAGGATATCAAAACAAATTGATAATAAACGAACACAGAGTACAAAAAAATAAAGAAAATAAATAAAATGCTAACAAGAAACTAAAATGATAATCTAATAATAAATCTCATAATATATTTCCATTAATTAATAAACTCTTCTGATACAACTGATCCTCCAACATACAACTCGGGAATCCATACTGTGTGGACCCCTAGAAAATCCAAACTAAACAAATGATAGTAATCTAAAACAAGAAACTGAATCATAAAGGAACTCTTATGTAGCATCGGAAGAATGAAGTAGACTGATCCCCGCTCAGTACGAACAACCTCTACTCGTGACGAACACCTGAAAAATAATGGTGGGTCAGGCCCACAAAAAAGTTCTACTCTACTACAGTCCAAGCAGAGATCCGATACACGTATACATCCTAGTCAATCCAACAGTAACTAGTAGTCCGTATATATATATACACACACTAAACGAACCTCACTAGACTATAGGGTTGTCTCAACCTGAATAATAGGCAACATGCAAAACACACATATAGTGGGCATGAGTACCTAGACCTACCAGGGTACACAACTACACTATACCTAGCTACTCATCCCTGGCGATATACGCGCCCTAACCATTGATCCCGAGACTCAATCTCATATCATGTCACCATACTTATATATATAAAATCTAGTAACCATCCTATCCAGTATAAATTAATCCTTCATAAGTCATTCAACTTGTTCAGCTGACCTAACTTGAATATAAGTAGGACTTAACATTTTAGTTAATCCATTTCCTTATATAATAAATTAATCCTCCATAAGTCATTCAACTTGTTCAGCTGACCTGACTTAAATA